CACTTTTTGTTAAACATTCTTCTTTTTTTCTTTTTTTTTTCTTTAAGGGGGTAAAACTACTTTGACCTTTGAACTTAACCTAATTTGACCTAATGTTGACCTAATGAGAGATCGTGTGTGGTCCCTGTAATGCCTCGGGACCCCTTTGAACATAAAGAGAGGCTTTAAATATGGATGGATGGATGGATGGATGATGGATGGATGGATTGATAGATAATGGATGGATGGATGGATGGACCAGCCCCACCTCCGAGGTCTTCTTCTCCCCCATGGCCAGTGAGTGGACTCTGGTTTTTTCTCTTTTTATGACCCCAAACTAAGGGTGGGACGGTCCACAAAATCTACGGTTCGGTTCGATTCGCGGTTTCGTGGTCACGGTTTTCGGTTCGGTTCGGTATATGTTGATTGTTAGGAAAATCTATTATGTCTTGTATAGTCAGGTTAAAACTGAAAGAAAAAAGCATGCTGACATTTGATACATTATTGTGACAGTCTGAGGCTAAAAGTAGGTGAGATTCTGGCATTGCAAGAGAGGAGACAGTGCTAATTCCAACATGTGCTTCCCTCTAAATGCAAAGTGGTCCATACAGCAGACCTAGAAACTGCTGTTGGCGCGTTGGATTTTTATTATCGGCTACGCTGCCTCGCTTCTTCTTCTTCTTGTTTCCTACTGGGGGTTGGCTTTGGGCGCACTAGCGCCCCCTTCTGCTCTGGAGTGAACACGCTTCCCTCTGAGAAAAAGGAGCAGCATGAACCGAACACAACACACGCGAATCGAACCGAGACGGTCGAACCGAACGGTTCGGACGGTTTTCATAAACCGTTCCATCCCTACCCCAAACAAACACTTGTAACGTTTTTATTCAGTTTCTATTTATGTTGTTAATAAGTGAACGAACTCTGAACTCAGGGCTGGTCTGCATGTCTGTGAGGAGTTTTAGAAAACAAATCTGGAGCTATTATTTTTCTTTTACCCGGTCAGTTTAATATTCGCACACTTTTTGTTAAACATTCTTCTTTTTTTCTTTTTTTTTTCTTTAAGAGGGTAAAACTACTTTGACCTTTGAACTTAACCTAATTTGACCTAATGTTGACCTAATGAGAGATCGTGTGTGGTCCCTGTAATGCCTCGGGACCCCTTTGACCATAAAGAGAGGTTGTAAATATGGATGGATGGATGGATGGATGGATGGATGGATGATGGATGGATGGATGG